AGCCAAGTGGTTCAGCAAATTCAGACAGGCATCCAAACTTCGGGATTTTATCTAAACCAAACCAAACCCAATCCCATATTTTACCTAAATAGCAGTTTCTATCTCCAGGTCTCAACCAGCAATCTTTGCAAAACCCAAATTCTCCCTTTGTACAAAGTATACAGGACTGTATACACAATAAGCAATAAGCAATAACCAAAACAGTGCATTCTTCCAGAGATTCTCAACAAATACAGAAGTCAAATCCCTCAGGACTTTTCCCCTTTTGCACACCATTAGATGCTAGAAGAACTTTGTAAACAACAGAGAGGTAGAATGAAAAGGAATAGATTCACTTCCCTTATAACACTAAAACCTACTCTTCTGTCAAACTTAGAACTAGAAAAACACTGTATTTTTACAGTTAATAAACCATGACTATAAAATGCATGGTGGTTACAAAAATGGCACTTCAGATAGAATACAAAACAGCATTTTACAAAAACAAAATCTAGCAAACAGCCAGTTAGCAGTAGTTTCAGATGATATGCTAGAAATACCACTGGCCTAGCCAGCTGGCCCTAAAGATATCTAAGAGGGGGGCAAGTTGAGAAATCCAGATGATTCTCATCATGAAAGATCTGATTTGTGAAGACAGAGAAGGAAGCATAAATATATAGAGAGAGCCTAAAGAGAGATGATTAGGAAGCCAAATATAAATGTATGAAATCCAAAGGAAATGTCAGTTAAATACAGATTTTGATAGTCACGGAAATGGTAAATTAGTCTCTTTACACTGTCAGTTAGTCTAGATGATCAGTGCCCTAGCGTTCATACTACAGTAATGCTGTGCAGTGTAATCACATAAACTGGGCCATGTGTTTATACAGCCATATGTGCTACTATATATAGATATTAAAATGCAGAGCTGCATTTAGATTTGTTTTACCTAATAGCTCTGTATGAACAAAGTATGAACAAAACATTTTAGGAGCTTCAGCAAGTCAAATACACAGTGTGGCCACATCATGCTTACAGTTCCGTGGTTTATTGTTCCTTCTGGTAGTATTTAACAGACTATACAAGTGATTTTAACTAATCCTTCTTCAATTCTAATTTTTGAAAAAGCAACTATTATGGCTTAATGCAACAAACTAAACCCCATCAATCCTTCTGGATAATATAGAGTTGAGCTTCTTTACATAGAAGCTTAATTGCTGACCAAATGATTGTGGTAGTATCTAATATCCATTTGTTATGGATATTAAACCACTATTTTTGACACAGGAAAGGCTTGCTGCACTTAAAACTTTAGAGTGTGAATCCTAGTTCTGCTCAGGATCAAGAATTGTGTTTACAGTGGTGATTTTTATGTTTATAATGTTTGTGTGGGAGTCCCACTTTAGGGGAGAAAAGAAACAAAGATTGCTCAGAGTTATCTTGTACTGTACTTTGGCAACAACATCATCTATTCATGGAACATGCTTTACTAAAAGTCCCAGGGTGTTTAGCATTTAAAACCAGTTGAAAGCAGTAACAGCCATAAGACATTAATACTTGTGCAATTTTTGTTGAAAACATTTCCATATTTCAGCATGAAGATCCAGGCTAATTATGTTTCAATAGCCTGGCTCCAGTCAGAATATGGACCTGCAGTATTCTGTATCAGCTGCAATGCTTAAATAAATGTCTGATCTGAAGTCAGAGGAGAGACTCCTGTTGATTTCATTGAGCTCTGGATCTGTTCTTAAGTGCCTAAGGTGAAATATATATATATATTATTTCTATCAACTAGCCTTTCTATGTCTGCCTTGATGAGCAGAGACCTCAAACTGGCCACACTTCAGAGATAATAATTATTGTGCTATGGCTTCCTTCATCCAGGTGATCTCAACGTGATTTAAAAATATTAAACTTATCAGTACCTCTGTACATGGTAGGTATTATTATTTCCACATAATAGAGATATTAAAAGAAAATCATTCAAAAGTGGCCACTAATTTTTAGATATCCATTTTGATCCTGAAAAATAGAGGCACCCGAAACTGGTCACTGAAAATTTGGGTCTAATGCCCTGATCCTACAGAGACTCAGGCTATGTATCCACAGGTGCTTAACACCCCATCCTGCCTGTGACGGACAAAGATTTGGCGAGGCCAGTGTAAACGTGAACACTGCTTTTCTACAGACAAAGAGAAAGCTGCTCTTTGGGGGTAGAAATATTTTGTTGGCGAAAGTGAAGCCAAACATTGTTTACACACACTTTTAGCGACAGGGCTGTGTTGACCAGCCTTGTGGCCAAAAGCTGTGTAGTGTAGATATTTCCTTAGGAATATGCTTAACTTTAGACATGGTGGGTAGTTTTCACTAAGGTCAATATAATCATTCAGTGTGTAAAGCTGAGCATAAGTATCACAACAAACCAAGTGCCTATACTGAATAAAGCCTATGAAAGCTGCATTCTTTAGTCTATTCATACATCATTTGACCAGGTACTTGTGTTAGCAAGCCTGTTTACTGGCTATGAAGAGAGTCCATTACTATTACTTATAGTGTATTATAGCCCCAAAACAGCCTTCCAAATAAGCATGTTAATATAGCAGTGCTCTTAAACATTCTCACGGCATTAACCACATTTTAAGGGAAAGTTTGTCTCTTGGATCACCTCTCTTCCTTTTGCAGTTCTGTGGATTATTTCCCTTCCTATTCATAATCACATAACATCTGAGTAACTACAGCAATTGCCTGTATGAAAGGGAGAGATTTATTAGCTGTCTTTAATTTGATTTAGCAGCTGGAAACAAGGAGAATTTACTAGCACCATGTGACCAGCCAGCTCTCCTTAGAGAAGTTATCAAGCAAATTTACAGTGGACAGTTTTGGGGACCTCTGCAAGATATATTTTGTTGCACAATTAGTCAATTTGTCCTTGCATTCAAAAGAGTAAGCCCAGACAGGTATTACAAATATCTGTATCAAGAAATCTTTTAAATTTAGACAGGAAAGATGGACGTGGAGAGGTTGAATAAAGATACAGAGGTGGGGTAATCAATTATTTTTGCCAAAGTCTACACTTGAGAGAAAATAATATAAAAATAATAAGTAAATAAAAAAAGTGCACAGTTCAAGTGTCAAACAATCTGGATTTGGCCTGCAGTCTGCCTTTTGACTACTCCAGTCTATGGTACAATCCAGAAGTTTTTAACCTTTTCCATTTGCAGACCTCTACAAAAATTGAACGTAAGTACATGCCTCTTTGGAAATCTTAGATGTTCTCTGTGGACCCACAGGAATCAGTGGACCCAGGGCTGAAAGCTACTAGCATGATCTAACAAAAGGGAAGTGCAGGAAACAGAACAAAAAGCTGCCCAGATTTATGGCTTTGAACAGTGACAACCTGATAAAGAACTTGGGTATGGAGAGAGCCTGCTGATTATTGTGAGTGATCTGACAATTTCCCCACAATTAGAAATTATTTGATAAGGTGGAAAGGAGAAGCAGATTTCTTGTACTAACAATTACAGCGAGAAAAAACGTTTGGAAATTTAACAGTTTCCCGGTGGGAATCGCTCACTGCGTTGCGTGTGGTGCCGCAAACTGTGCGGAAGTTGTGGCGAGTATGTAACAGAAGCAGGTGTCCAGCGGCCACGGGGCAAACGTGCGCAACGCACCAAGCAGCTGGGAGTAGGCACGGTGGGTGCAAACATGCGACGCAACGAGCAGGCGTGTGGGGCTGGGAAAGTGCAACTCAAAGACAAGGTGGGCGGCAAACGTGCAACACAACGAAGCCCGGTGGTGCAACCAGCCCTCGTGCAACTGCGCCACAGGAGCGACTGGTAGCCATGGTGCAAACGTGCAACACAATGAGCAGACGGGCGTCACCTCAGACCTGCCCGGCTTCCCCCAGTGGGCAGGAGCCGCCGGCCGCGGGTGGGTTGCGGCCAGGGTTCCGCTCCGCCTGCGATGGCGGGTTCGGCGGTTTCCTGCCGCGTTTCGGGCAGACCGTTCCCACCCCGGCTCGCGCGTGCTGGGTCTGCACGCGAGGAGGGCCCCCCCCAGGAGCGGGAGGGTAAGTGCACGCCCTCCCCAGTAACTGTTGCTGCTCCTTGTCGTACTACAGCCCGAACGCCCGCCCCCGCGAGCCCTTCAGAGCATCAACCGCCACGGGCAAAAAACTAACGGAAACTTTGGTTGGCGCCCCTGCGCATGCGCCGCCCCCTCCCTCGCCCTGGTCCCGCAGGGCACGGCGGGGGTTGTGGTTTCTCCGCGGCGCTGAGCGGCGGCAGGGAAGGAGAGGCGGAACTACAGCTCCCGGCAGCCCCTGCGCCCCACCCCGTCCCGGGAGGCTCTGTGGATGCGGGGAGCAGCGGGGAGAATGAGATGCGTGTGAAGCGGCTCAGTCCCGCGGGGCGCCGGAGTCGCCCTGTCCCGCAAGTGAGTTGAGCGGACCGCGGGTGAGCGCGCGCGCGGGGCCGAGGCGGGAGCCGCGCGCGCGCGGGACAGCCCCGCCCCGCCCTTCCTGGGAGGCTGGGTCCGGGCTCGGGTGCTCCGGGACCCCGCGGGGCAGCCCGGGTTCGGGGCGCTGCTGCTGCTGCGGAAGCGGCTTCCTCAGCGCAGCCCCGGGCTCCCGCTGGGGTGGGGACAGGCTGAGGCCGCTCGCAGCATCTCCGCAACTGCTGGCTGGGGGGCAGGGGGCTCTTACTTCCAAGGTGGCTCCCGAAGGGGGGGGGAGTTGGGAAACTTTCTGACCCCTCCCCGGTCCGAGTCAGAAATGGTGCGAACGAGCGAGCCGGAGCCACTCCCATTCCCGCGCGCTGCCCGGGGCAGACCGGCTTGTCCGAACTCGCACCGTGCGGGGCCGTCGCCCGCGCCCTTCTCTAGGGCCACGGGGGTAGCGGGCTCAGAGGCGCGGAGCCGGCTGCAAAGCAGTGCCACAGAGGTGAGTAGCTCCCCTTCGAGTTCAGAGGGCCCCGTGGCCCTAGTAGGGGTTTGCGGGGCTGCACCCGAAATGGTCTCTGACGTGGGCCTTCTCACTCAGTCCTGCCAAATACATAACTTCCAGGAGAGTGAGAAACGGAGTAACAGACCAGCCAACCGCTTGCTACTGAGGGGAGAGGAGTCATATTTTTTTTGTATTACAGTGGCACCTCTAAATCTCAGTCACAAAGATTTGGTGAAAAGTTTCTCGTGATCCTGAAAAGTTTTAAGTAGGACTAACGGGGAAGTATTTAATGAGAGAAAAACGGAAGCAGGACATTAGGAAAAATTGTTTTAAAGACCTAGTAAATTGTGAAACAGTCCCATCAATAAGGTGGAAGATCACTTGGGACGTTGGAAACTGCACCTGACAGACAACTGCAAAAAAGTAGTGTAGAGAGCAGTGTTGCACTGGCAGGGGTGACACTAGAGACTGGACCATCTGCGAGGCCTTTACGGCCTCTGATATCTGAGATTCTGTGAACTATTTTATTTTTGCAGTTTTAAAGCATTTCAGGAATTATCGTTGGTTTCACAACTTGCTCTCTTCCTACTCACTAAATTTAACCACTTTATAATCATAGAATCATAGAATAATAGGACTGGCAGGGACCTCGAGAGGTCATCGAGTCCAGCCCCCCGCCCTCAAGGCAGGATCAAGCTCCGTCTACCCCATCCCTGACAGATGTCTATCTAACCTGTTCTTAAATATCTCCAGAGAGGGAGATTCCACCTCCTCCCTTGGCAATTTATTCCAATATTTGACCACCCTGACAGTTAGGAATTTTTTCCTAATGTCCAATCTAAACCGCCCCTGCTGCACTTTAAGCCCATTACTCCTTGTCCTGTCCTCAGAAACCAAGAGGAACAAATTTTCTCCTTCCTCCTTGTGACGCCCTTTTAGATATTTGAAAACCGCTATCATGTCCCCCCTTAATCTTCTTTTTTCCAAACTAAACAAGCCCAGTTCATGAAGCCTGCCTTCATAGGTCATGTTCTCTAAACCTTTAATCATTCTTGTCGCTCTTCTCTGTACCCTTTCCACTTTCTCCACATCTTTCTTCAAATGTGGCGCCCAGAACTGGACACAGTACTTCAGCTGAGGCCTAACTAGTGCAGAGTAGAGCGGCAGAATGACTTCACGAGTTTTGCTTACAACACACCTGTTGATACAATGCTTGCATGGAAACTATTTATAGGTTTAAGTTATATTTACATAGGCTCATTTAATAAGACTATACTTTCTGGTAGTACAACAATCAATAAACTACTTTAAACATGTATGTACAGATAATAAAAATTGGTATTGAAAAGACTTAAATACAAATGTTTAGCATTTTAAAATACTTTTACTATAACAATTGGGCAAATATAAATGACGCCCTGACCTACAGCATGCATCCAGTATTTACATCTGAGTCATAATTTTTAGCCACCTATATCATCACACCAGTTAATTCTTCCACCTCCTTCCCTTTCACATATTTTCATGTGTCCTCATTATACACTATTCCATATTCTTGGAATCTCTTCCCCAAATTTGTTCACTAATCCATGTCTCTTGCTTCATTTAGATTCTTCCTGAAATCTAATTTCTGGTATCTCATCTATGAGAAATGTGGGGATAGGAAAGCACCACATGGAAATGTGCACAACAACCAGCCCTTAAAGGAATACTTGTTATATTCTTATGCTTTACTGTAGTGGTTCTCAACCAGGGGTACGTGTACCCATGCATTAACTCATGTAGATATTTGTCTAGTTTTACAAGGGGCTACATAAAAAGCACTAAAAGTCAGTACAAAATAAAATTCCATAAATTTGTTTATATTGCTCTGTATACTATGCTCTGAAATGTAAGTACAATATATTTCACTTGATTTATAATTATATGGTAAAAATGAGAATATAAGCAATTTTTCAGTAATAGTGCATTGTGTAACTTGTATTGTTATGCCTGATTTTTGTAAATTTATAAGTGAGGTGCAACTTGAGGGTAAACAAGACAAATCAGACTCTTGAAAAGAATGCAGTAGGATGGAATAGGGATGTAATAGTGTATTCAATTAACCGATAAGCAAAAGTGTATCAGTCAATGGTATAGACTACATGTATTTCCCTCCCCTGTCCCACCAGCAAATTATTTAGCAGGCTGACCAGCAAGCCCAGCGCAGTCCTGGCTGGCAACGGGGCCAGGATCTCCCCCTGCTGCAGCTCTGCATTTAAAGTGTAGTAGGAGGCAGGCAGGCAGCCCTGCTCAGTTCCAGCTTGTGTCTGGTTCGGGAGCTCAGACACTCCCCTCCTTTTTCTCCCCCCCCCCCCAGACAGGGGCTGCTGCCACCCCATGCTGGTGCCTCTTTATCAGCAGCAGCACAGGGCGACAGGCAGCCAGTCCGTGAGTGTAGCTGTTTTTAAAATTGGCTCCCCTCACGTACCAGCTCCCACCTCTGTATCAGAGGCAGCAGCTCAGAGTTGCAGGGGGCTCCTCAGGAGTGGGGCCTGAGCGCACTGACTGCTGGTCCCGCCCCTGGGACTATAGAATAGTCGACTAACTGATAAGAATTCATGAGGTTACTCGACCAGTCAGTTAATTGATATTTTACATCCCTAGTATGGAAGAGTCGAGAGTCACTACCAGGGCCGGCCTTAAGCCAAATCGGGCCCCGCGCCTAAGGGGGCCCTGTGCCCTGCACCTGGAAGTTGGCTCACTCAGCTTGGCCGGCTGGGCTCCCCGCCCTTATTTGCGCAGGCTGCTGCTGCCGCCGCGCAAGTGAGTGGGGAGACGCCCGGGCATGACGTCATGTCACGCCCGGGATTTTGAAACTGAAAAGGCGGCAGCGGCACACGCGGTTTGGAATCTGGCCCCGCAGAGGGTAGGGGAGGGGAAAACTAGGGGGAGGTGTGGGAGAGGAAGAGGCTTGTGCGGAGGGGGAAGAAAGGGGAAGGCATCAAGAGACAGGGTGGAAGAGAGACAAATGGCAGGGGGCCAAGTGCAGACAATGAGGGAAAGGGCAAAAGGGGAGGTGTCAGTGGGAGGGGGCTCAGGGTGATGCTGGGAGAGGAGGGGAGAGGGGAAGGGCATTGGGGGCTGGAGGGGAGGTACTGGGAGAAGGCTCGAAAGAAGGGGTGGGCATGCAAAAGGTGGGGATGGAGCAAGGCATGTGTGGGGGCACAGGGGAATGAGGGTAATGGGGGCAGAGAGTGGTGAGGGGATGGACATCAGGGAAAAAGGGGAGGCACCAGAAGGATGCAGGGCTAACGGAAGGTGCAGGTGCCAGGGGATTCTGGGCATGAAGCAGAAGGGCAGATACCTGCAGGGGAGGGACCAGCACCAGAGGAGAGAGGCAGGGCAGGTGTGTAAAGCGAGGTGTTAGAAGAGGGGTAGCTCACATGATCAGAGTGGGGCTATTGGAGGAGTGGGCACAGGGGGGAGAGAAGGGCTGGTGGAGGGGGGCAGGTCGCAGGAGAGCGGAGGGCAGTGTTAGAAGAGGGGTAGCTCACACGATCAGAGTGGGGCTACTGGAGGAGTGGGCACAGGGGGGAGAGAAGGGCTGGTGGAGGGGGGCAGGTCGCAGGAGAGCGGAGGGCAGTGAGAAGGGCAGGAGTCAGGACAGCAGAGGAGAGCGAAGAGTTTGGGGGCAGCAGGCACCAGGGGAGATGATGGAGCAAGAAGAGGAGACATGGCAGCAGAGAGAAAAGGGAAAGGTTTATAAAATATGTATTAATAACTTGGTATGCTGCCCACAGACAGTTTGGTTGCGCCCTGCGGTGCAGTTTGGGTTTATGTGGGGATCAACACGTGGCCGGCGAGTGGGAGTCAAAACAAAAAAGTAGTCAGTGTAATGATCTTTTGTTGATGTGTTTTAGTAGTTAAATTCTTGGACTGTCATTGCTCATGAAAAATTGGTAAAAATTGGGTAAATATTGCATTTTATTAATATCAGCAGAACTGACTTAAATGGGGCCTTTGTGTTGTGTAGTCTTGCCTTATCTTTGTATTCATGCCTGTCAGTGTGAGAGAAGCTATTTGTATATATTTGCTTGCATATGGAACCACACTTAAGTTGAGGCCCTCAGCATGTCTGTAAGTATCAGTGTGGCCCCTGGGGCTTCCAAAGTTGAGTTCCCCTAGCTCATCCCTGACAGGTGTCTGTCTAAACTGGTCTTAAATATCTGCAATTTAAGCCCATTGCTTCTCATCCTAACCTCAGAGGCCAAGCAGAACAATTTTTCTTCCTCCTCCTTATGATACTCTTTTAGATACTTGAAAGCTGCTCTCATGTCCCTTTTTGGTCTTCTCTTTTCCAAGGTAAACAAGGCCAATTTCTTCAGCCTTGCCTCATATCTCATGTTCTCTAGACCTTTCCTCATTTGTGTCGATCTTCTCTGGACTTTCTCAGTTTCTCCACGTTTCCTGAAATGTGGTGCCCAAATCTGGACCTGATACTCCAGCTGGG